TAGAATTTGGTACTTCCTTTGACTTTTTAAGTGAAAATATATCGATGTGTACATGGGCAAAGTAAAGGGAGTGCGCAATGCAAGTTTGTGCAAGTCTGGGATTTTTTTTAAAGTGAAAATAGGTCGACGTGTACATGGATACAGTTAAAAGGGCCATTTTTCTGCAAATCGGGGAATTTTTTTTTTTTAAGTGAAAATAGGTCGATGTGTACATGGATAAAGTCAAAGAAGTACGCAATGCCATTTTTGTTCAATTCAGAGATTTTTTTTTTAAGTGAAAATAAGTCGATGTGTACATGGATACCGAGTTTGTGCAATTGTTTGTCTTGTTATTTTCGCTTCGTGTAGCGGCGATTTTCACAAGCCAAAATTAACGAGTCAAAGAATTGCACAAAATAGGTATCCATGTACCGATAAAATTCACCAAGAGGTACCCTAAAATATACTTTTACCTGTATTTCTTGTGCATTTAACATATCAGCAGCTTCTAGTTGTAGTGGTGCTGATTTTAGAATCCTGTCTAACACATCACATTATTTGTCAGATGATAATGAATCTACTAATTCTAAACATGTTTGATTTATTTCATTCTTTCTGTGTTCCAGTGAGAGGGTCTGCGATTTTTTTTTTCGGGGGGGGGGGGGGCAAGTTAATTCAAAATTCATTTTCATCATCTATAATAAGTGGATAATTCATTATGTATTGTTGTAGTTGTAGTATAAGTAGCAGTATTTCTAGTGTGCTGATGTCAGTAATGTATTTAACAAGCAGCAGTATTTCTAGTGTGCTTGCACATACTCTACCTAACTTATAAGGTATTTCTCCCGCCTTCTTGGTGTGGTGATCTGCACACTGGGCACATATTCCAGAGGCCGCTGTTCGATTCCCGGCGATGGCATTGCTAATTTTTCATTCTCTCTTGCTTCCAATGTAAAATTCTAATGTCTGTAGAGTAGCGCCCGAACTTAAAGGGTGTTAGATGATTGTTCTCCACACTCAGGATTTGGCAATTAGGTCCCCTAAAATCCTCAGTCGCCCTTTAAAAGGGGGAGTATATATTATTCCACCTTCTCGGCATGGCTTCAAGGTGTGATGTGTATCCAGAGGTCCGTGGTTTGATTCCCGGCAAAGGCATTGCATATTTTTCATCTTCCAAAAAAATACCTAATATCTCTACAAACTGATGAATCAATACAGCTGCATATCAATCAATGAATGCATATCAATGCACTGTATGTGGCATGTACAAGTTTTGTTACTTTCATGTATAGTGCATATTTCTGTATTATGTGTTGATGAAACAGACCACCCATTCTCATTCTCTACTACTTATAAACATAGTGTTTCATTTGTTTTATGTTTGATTCTTAAACTCCTTATCTTACTTGTTAATTTACCTTTATTTGCTGTAATTAAGCGATTAATCATTGTGTTATCCAATCTCTTAACATTTTTTCCCATGAAGATAAATATATTTTAATGTTCGGTGCATTCGTTCGATGTGCATTTTTGTGTTAATACCACTGTGAAGTCTATAACAGTATGCCCAGCTAGATTTATTTTGTAAATAATATGTTTCAAAGTAATTTGCAAATTCAATAATGTCCGGATCTTCTTTAAATAATTTTATTGCTGCTTCTGTCAGTGTATGAAAAGTATGAATGTCGTTCTTCTAAGTGAGACCTACCGTATTTGACTTTTTTTTTTTTTTTTTTTTTTTTTTTTTTTTTTTTTTTTTTTTTTTTTTTTTTTGTTTTTTTCTTTTTTTTTTTTTTATTTTTTTTTTTTTTTTTTTTTTTTTTTTTTTTTTTTTTTTTTTTTTTTTTTTTTTTTTTTTTTTTTTTTTTTTTTTTTTTTTTTTTTTTTTTTTTTTTTTTTTTTTTTTTTTTTTTTTTTTTTTTTTTTTTTTTTTTTTTTTTTTTTTTTTTTTTTTTTTTTTTTGTTTTTTTTTTTTTTTTTTTTTTTTTTTTTTTTTTACCGTATTTGACAGCATATAAGACACACTTTTTTTCCTAAATTTGGGCTCAAAAAGTTACCTGTGTCTTATACGTGAAGGACACAGTCTTTATACATGAAGGTAATTGCATTCAATAATTGTTTATTTGGCTTTTACGAAACGTGAGAACTAAAAGAAACCACGCTATTGAAACTTTTTTCCCTTGTGTGTGGCCGTCTAAATAAGAGTGCGTCTTTTATGCCATCAAACACGACAATAATTTTACATGTTTTTGCCTGTTTTTCAACACCATTGATTTTTTTTTAAAATTGTTTCTCCAGGTTCTATCAATATGCCATGCAAAAAAAAAGACGTTTCTGTAGTAAACCCATTTCAGACTTCCAAGCATTAAAAAAAGATTCAGCCATATCAGACATAAATATTTGTGGTTGTATTCGCACAACTTTTTCTTTAATACATGAAAAAAAAATTGATAGCACAGGTTGGTCACATTGATTAGAAATTAAAAATGCACCCAGGAATCCTTGCCGCAAATCATCTATTGCAAGTAAAGTTATGAGATCAAATCTGTATGCATTCACCCCATGTGTACCATCAATACATATACAAATCAGAATTAAATTTTTTCAGTATCTCTCTTTGTGCTTCTGTCATCATTATCAAAACAAAATCATTTCCTTTTAGAAATGAATATTGTGTACGTACAATATTCACTCGTGCTATGTTTTATAAAATGAAATGTATCGATGCTGATAATTTTGCATTTCAGGTACCCACGTATCTACACAAACCCTATCATTTTCATGTTTAACAGAATTAGAAGACAAATTGAAAGATATTTCGATGTTATAGAAATCTTGTTTTGTATGTAAATGAAACCTCTCAAGCCCAGCATCTCATAGAGAATTTCTAATTTCATCTAAAATATCATCCAGAGAAATTTTTGCTGCTATCTTTGATGCAATATTTTTTATTTCATCTGTTGTTGAAAATAAGTGACCTAAATCATATCCGATGCCCCAGTATGTATTTTTCTGATATGACACTACACATTTGCCATTTCTGTATGTTCTGTTACTTTTAATGCAGCTGGCGCAATATGCATTTATTTTATTGCTACCAATGATTTTTAAGTGATGCAAACCTTTACTTTCTGATATAAAATTTCCAGAACGGTCGCATCTGAACAGTGGTATTACACCATGTATATTAAATATGCTTACTCCATAAGAAATTTTGACTTCGTATTATTTTCAATTTCTGCCTTCCATACCAAAAAATCATTAAATGAATTAAATTCTAGTTCAGTATGATTCAAATCACTATCATGAACATTACTGAAATGAAGTAATTTCTCACTTTTCAAAATTAGCATAACATACAGGACACACACAATTACCTGTTAGAAGTATGAATTTTATTTTGATGATATTTCCAATTTTTTAGGTCACTAAATTTCAGATGGAAGTCCTCACATTTGTAGCTTGGTGATCGACTACTTTTTAAAGAATCATTAATGTAGTATTATTAGAGTGTAATGTGTTGGTATGGCATTTCAAACTGCATTTATTTTGGTACGTTTTTAAGTAATCAGAACATACAAAATTACTCTCAGCCACACTAAAATTATTTGCACAATCAACCATATTATTAGAACTTAGTTTTCAGAGACTCAATTAATGTAGTATTATTGTACAGAAATTTATATGCATGGCATTTCAAATTGTATCTATAGTTGAAAGTTTTAAACAATCACAGCAAACAAAATCACTCTCAGCTATACTAAAATCATTGCACAATGAACCATATCACTCACAACACAATCAGATATGAATTTATATGCATAGTGTTTCAAAGAAATTTATAAATTTATATAAGAAATTTATATGCATGGCGTTTCAAATTATATCTATAGTTGGAAAGTTTTAAACAATCACGGCAAACAAAATCACAATCAGCTATACTAAAACCATTTTCACAATGAACCATATCACTCACAACACAATCAGAATTATCACACATACCAGAATTGGAATTATAGCACACAATTACTCCTTCCTGTTTTTGATTCGATTCGGAATCAAAAATACCTTTTGAGGAAACAGAAGTACTTGGCCCTGAAATGGGCAGTTTTTCTTGATTTTCTGCAGAAGATATAATAATCGAAGCAAAATAAAAAAGAGAACTGTATCATCAATCACACGCTACCACAGCAGTGCAAAGAGTAAAAGTAAATACGAGGCGCCTTCAGGAAAATGACGACATGTGCAGTAATCTGCGCAGATGTTCAGGGAGGAAACTAGCGCCTGAGGGGCTAGACGCTTGTGATAGTTGATGATGATGCTCGCGTTTTTCTACAAGGCATACTGAAACTACTTCACATAAAAAAATTTCACAACAGAACAATTCACATTATTCAAAAAGACAAATTTTCTCCCTTCATATACGGATTATAAGGAGCACTGTAGTTGCCAATGATGTACATTGTGTACAGAAATTGTGATCATTTGCATATTCCATTGCAGTATACACATGATGCAAATTTCATACTGTTTGGTTGCTTCCTTCATAGTGTTGCATTTTGAATGGCTAGGAGTTTAGTTTCAAAGCATATTCGAAATTCTTGAAAAAAGTTATTGTTTAAGGGGAGTTGCTTGTTTGCTTGAGGTGATGCTCATATTATGGTGATAAATATTCTTAATGATAAAATACACGTAATTTACATGTATAATATTAACCTTTTAATGGTAAGTATATGTAAATAAAATAAATATTCTTTTTCTGTTGGTAACTATAATTCAGCAGCATAGTGTATGTAATGAAATTCAGGTAGAAAAAAGTAATGGCATTCTCTCTTCATCCACATCATGTAGAATTTACCTTCAGCTGGAACTACAATCATATACAAATGCTTGGAAGGACAGCAGAGCACAGTATATACATATTCATTCTTATTTTAGATTATATCTTTCTATGTACAGTTACAGTTTTAATGTAAAATAAGCCTTTTAAAATATTTAAATCGTAATAAGAAATGAGACAATTTCATGTGATGGAAACTATTTATTTAAAACAGTTTAGGTAAATATACATTTTGGATATTACAGTTGCTTTCATTTTGCAAATGATGAATTTTAAAATTTAAAACGAAATGTAAATTGCCAGGTGTAAATAAAATCTCTAGAAATCAAAATACAGCATTGTCATTTATGCAGTTTCTACGTTTTATATAAAATTATTTTATTAATTTTTACTTTTATAATATATAATGATAGTGGACAATATATAAGGTTAATAAATCAGAATAAGATTAGAAAAAAATCAGAATTTTTAATAGCAGTGCATTGTTTATAAAATGCATTTAAACCAGTAGTGTTACTGAAATTAATTTCTTGAAAATGCAATAAAAATACATGTTTAGAGTTTATTATAAGTTTTAGCTTGTACTCAATAAAAAAAAAACTTTTTAGTATTACATTTACTTAGTAAACTGTACTTGCAAGCTTCATTAATATAAATATTGCAAAAATAATTCATTAAGAAGACTTGAATTTTGTTATCTCCTACTGATACTAGAGCATTTATGGTCGTAATCTGGCTGCTTCTTCAGCAACAATTTCTTGTGCTTTTCTTCGTTTAAAAGTTTTGTCTGAGGAAGAAAAAATTATTTACAGAATTCATATATTAATATAATGAAAAACACACATTTATACATTAAATCTGAAATAATCAAAGGAAACTATAAATCCTTAAAAGAATTTTTTACTACAGCAGAAAACTGTTCACATTTTATACAGTGAAAAAGACGAGGCCACTGTCTTACAAAATAATGCTAAGATAAATACAGAAAATGCTTAGTTAATTTGTGAATAATATTGAATAGTGCACCAAAATCATTTTATATAATTCATATGGAACATACATAAAAATATTACTATAAGCTAAGATTATTTAAGATCAGACTGCTCAGTTACTCTCAGAACTAGCTCTTTTACTAATTAATTAAAAAACTGATTATAAACATATTTTTTAAAACAGAATTCAATAATAACTGCTCTTATTAATAATATTTAAATAAATGTTGGTGATTTATAACACTTGGTGGCTATAATATTTATAAAATATACTTTAAATACTTAAAAAAGTAACACACAGTAATAAATAGAATCAAGCTTAACATACATGAACACATACACCAAATGACCTAAATATTATGATTACCAGTAGAATGTAATGTTGATCCTGTATTTGTTGACATAACAACTACTACCAGGTAAGGCATAAATGTATCACAGCTTTGAGGACTTTGTGTATGTAAGTACCAGCATTTTACTAGCAAATTCTGAAACTCCTGTAAGCCTTGCACCTCAACTGAAATAAATGAATGCATTGCTGAAATGCATTCCAAAGATGTTGGATTGGATTGATGTTTGATATATATGAAGCCTAAATGAATACTTTGACCTTTTCACATTCAATGTACTATTGCCAAACAGTCCAGGCAATGAAGCTTCTCAATATCTCAAACTTACAGCGCCGTCGCAGCGCTGTGGTAGGCGTCCCCCGCATGCGCACTAGTCTTTCTTGTTCACTGACTTTCAATTGTCGCCATTTTGGTTGCTCTATGTGTGTTTTCAGTTTGCTGTGCACATTCAAAATGTTTAAGACAATTAGTTCTCCCGCTGACTGTGAGATTCGTGCCGTGATTAAATTTTCGAACGCGAGGAATGTTAAACCGGCCGAAATTTATCGTCAAGTGACAGAAATTTACGGTGAATACGCGATAAGTAATGGAATGGTGAGAAAGTGGGTAAGAATGTTTAATGCAGGTCGAACAAATGTCCACACCGAGGCTTGGAGTGGTCGGCCTTCTGTTGTTACCGATGATTTGGTAAGGAAAGTTGATGAAGCAATTCATGAGAACAGACGCTTCACAATGACAACTCTTTCAGAGGCATTTCCACAAATTTCACGTACTGTTTTGTTCGAAATTGTGTCTGACCGCTTGAATTATCGCAAACTGTGTTCCCGATGGGAACAATCGATGGAGAGGAGACACACTCATTCTCCGAAAAAACAAAAGTTCAAAGTGACAATGTCATCACAAAAAATCGTGCACCGCCTTCTGGGATAGGAAAGGCGTTTTGCTTACTGCATTTCTTCTCGGAGATGAAACCATTAACGCGGCACGATATTGTGAGACTTAACAAAACTAAGGCGTGCCATTCAAAACAAACGAAGAGGAATGCTCAGTAAAGGAATTGTGTTGCTCCATGACAATGCTCGGCCCCATACTGCTGGTGTCACTCAATCATTAATTCGACAGTTTCATTGGGAGCAGTTCGATCACCCGCCGTACAGCCCGGACTTGGCGCCAAAAACTGACTACCACTTGTTCCTGCACATGAAGCACGAGCTTGGTGGCAAGCGCTTTGGATCTGACGATGACACGAAAAATGCTGTGGAGTCGTGGTTATCGAAATTGGCGGGAAGTTTCTTTGACGATGGTATACAGAAACTGGTCACCCGCTATGACAAGTGTTTGATCATTGGCGGAAACTATGTTGAAAAATAGTTTAAGACATGTATTTTCATGTAAAAATAAAATTGGATTCGAAAAAATTGTTTTACTATTTTTTTTCTTTTTCTTTTTTTTTTTTTCAAAACGGTACTTAGTTTCCGAATACGCCACGTATACCTTGAAAGCCTTTACATACCTCATCAAAAATTGTTTGTATGTTTTTCTAAAACTCATGTAACATCTTCCAACCCAACCTGGGGTAAGAGACATGCTGATAAAACAATAACATACTTGATCTACTTCTGACAAAAGTTTTACATTTGCTGAAGTAAATAAATTAGCAATAAATACCCAAATGTGATTATGTAATTATATCATTTTAAAACAATATTTTCTGAAAAAAAAAGGGTACATGAAAATTTTAAAAATTCATCGTGTCATTTGATATAAAAAATGTATTTAATGCCCAAGCACATTTTCCCATTCTTATACAGCATTAAACATGTTTTCGATTATTTGTATAACACTGGACTAGTTCACGTGTAGCAATGGAGTACTCGATAAATTAAGAACATAAATATTTATGGAAAATCGCTTATCAAACTAGCTCCAGAAAGTAACTGTAATACAGATCACTATTCTCATCAAAAATTTCTCTAAAATTGCACAATCTTCAGCTGTAATTTTTTTATATAAGTAGTTTCAAGTGCCTTTGCTGTGAAAGAGTTAATAAAGGACTATCACAATTTGTCCACAAAAGTGTTGTATTTTAGAATAAAAATAAAGAACACATACGAAAATAGCTACTTGACTGAAGGGTTGTGATAAGCACAGGTACATAAAGAACATTTATATGCATGGTTACCAGATTTAGCACAGTTTAAGACTAGATATTTAGAATTTACGATGGTTGCAATAATACATAAGTACCTATACTTGAAGAAATGAAGAGCAGTATGTTAGCAGCAGAATAGTGACAGAGAGAGAATGTGGCATGTTCATGATGAAATCCGGATTCAGAATGATTTAGTTTTTGTTTAGTTTTACTTTGATTCACCAAATTTAAGTTTGGGTACCAAAATTTGAAATTATTACTAGCTGAAGTGTTATTCAAGTGTTCATGTCATTAGCATTAAACAAGTACCATATGACATGGATTATTTTTGTTATGATGCAATTTAGAGAGATTTGTTTTAAGCAGTTTAACCCTTTGCGGCACAGTGTGTCCGGTCTGTACACACCTAAAAATTTTCTTCTGTACGCACAGAAAAATTGAATGAAAAAGGATTTATAGGTTACTATAGGTTACTCTGAACCTCCTTTATTTATAGTAGATGGCAACTCAACACAAACCAGTCCATATATGTTTAGTTTTTAAGACCCTCATTTTTCAAAGAAATCTTCAAGATTTTTTTTAGGGTATAAAAGGAATTGTTTGAAAAGAAATTTCTATGTTATTTTTTTGGCTGTATGCTAATCCCCTTATTCTATATTAGTTTTAAATTTTTACCTTGAAATCCTGCCTAAAATCAAACGGCGAACCCTAGGTGTGCATAGACCATGCTCACCGATAATCTAGGACAACTGAAAGTCTGTATTCTTTGTTTCTCTGCATCTCATTGGTCAGTTCATTGACAACAATGCTCATTTCAGCTCTTTTTGAAGCTCTATTCCAATCAGTGTGCCCAATCACAGAATTAAACGATAAGTGCTATCTTCACAAAATTTTACTTGTGTACTCCTTTAGGCCTAATTACACTGCTTACTTTTTTTTTTTTTTAATCAAATCTCCAACTATAAAAGGTAGCGTGCCGGAAAGGGTTAAACAGTGTTTTTTTTTTTTTTTTTTTTTTAAACAATGGAAAGGGAAAATAACTAAAATGAAGAGTTAAAGAGCTATTGCAAATTAGAGTATTTATTTTACACACACACACATACATACTCATGTGCAAAATTAAGAGAATTTGCAAATTATGTCTATTTTATGAAAAGTATTGAACTTAAGGTACTAATTATGGCACTGAAGAGTTTTGCATATATTCAGAGTACAATTCATAAGCGTACATATGCGTGACTGGGGAGCTGTGATCATGGAGAGGATATAAGTGCACGAGGGGCTTTCGGTGATTTGTTTGCTTGTACTCCTTCTTGACACTGGCCATGCTTCTCGCAAGAGTTAAATACGTTTTATACGATAGGTAAAATGACTAGCAACGAACGTATGGATGACAATAAGATTGAGAACTTCTGGTAGATTAGCCAATCAGAAATGCAGGAGGATACAAAGGTAAATTAAAGCCCAGTATCATCTGCAATTTCTGAAAACAGTTTCAGGACACAAGATGTACACCAAGAAGACTTGGACAAGGTACACTAAGATCCACAACAACGAATGAGAATTGTTTTTTGGCATTTTCAGGGTGGCAACACATGACTGCTACAGCTTCACAGCTCTCACCTGAGCTATATGCTGCTATTGGAACATGAGTTTCATGGTCTACAGTTGCCCGAAGACTTCTTGAGATAAGGCTGAATGCCAGAAAGCTCACTGTTTACATTCAGCTTACTGTAGCACAAAAGACAGCACATTTAGCATAGTACAGACAACACGCGCCTTGAACCACACTTCAGTGGAGCACCATGCTTTTTATAGAAGAGTCAGGATTCAGTCTGGATGTTGATTCTCGGTGTACCTGCATCTGGAAAGAGCCTGGAACATGATACCATTAACTCCCTCAGCAGAAAAAGGATCATTACAGTGGTAAAGGTGTAATGGATTGGACAGGCATAATGCTGAATGGCTGCATACCTCTGCAAATGTTTGACAAAGGCTACTGATATGAGGCACAGAGAGATCTTACAGCAATATGTTCAGGGGCACAACTGGTTCTGGATTCCTGTTAATGGACAAAATGCTCCTCCAGATAGGGCTCAGCTGGTCAACAATTACAAGGAAGTGAGGATATTCACTACATGGATTGATGCCAGATCTCTTGATCTAAAAGCACATATGGTATGCTCTTCGGGGGGGGGGGGTAATTTCATCTTATCCCAGAGTTGAAACCTGCCATGTTACAGAAGTGAGATCAACTGCCTCCAGTCCAGTATGTCATCACACTGCACTATTTGTGTGCCTGTGAGAGGGTACCACACCCCATATTAGACTCATTTTCAGTTCAATATCACAACGCGGATTTTGGACTTGTTGCATTATGAGCTTTACCAATATTCATGCTTACATAAAATGACTTAATTTTGTGCAGAACTGTATATATACTTTGTTTGTTTGGTAGGTTTATCATTGAACTGTATTTTTTTGCCTAACTTGCCCAAAAACAATTACCAGATTTTTTTTTTTGGGGGGGGGGGTTTGTTTGTTGAGTATACAAATAAGTAAATAAATCAAATACTCATACTTACAAAAATTTACACCATTAAAAGTCCATTTTATCATTGTAAATTCTAAAGCAGCACCAAATATAAAAAACAATGGCAAGAATCTGAAAACTCCAAATCTCTGGCCAGGCCACTTTTTTAATACTTGACGGATTGACATCCTGAATACTGAATATAAATAACAAAGACTACAATAACTGCATGATAAAACCAGATAGAACAATAAGATTTAAAGAAATATTTAAAAAATTAATGTTTTTTAATCTAAATGAATGAAGAAATAAACAATTTTCCTTTAAAATGAGGAGTAAAAAAGCTGATTTAAATAAAACTAATTAATTGAAAACCTAATTTGCAGGATGATTTTTCAGGCATTCCTACAGAAGAAAAAATTCAGGCAAGTTTTTTTTTTTTTTTTTTCTTCTGAAGAGAGAACTAGGTCAAATTATCCTTGAAATAGACTGAATTAAATTTTTAATAAAAATTTAAATTTTACACTAGTATATTTTTTTCCAGTAGACAAATGGTATTTTTTATTATCAACAGCTCATCAGAAAGCATTCACAAAGCAACACACTGTCACCAAAACAGGCAACCCATTATGCCACCAGAATATATTTACACTGCAACACATGCATGCATGCACACAGCAGACAAGCATGTGTTTTTTGGCTTTAAATCCGACAGTCACTTTTCTGATTAGTATTTGTTTTTGCACTGAATTTTTTTTTTTTCCTTGTACATAATTGTAATAGGGCTGTGGAATTTGCCAGCTGATGAGAAGGAAAGCATTGCATTTCTTCAGAAATATGGCATTTTGTTCAAAGGCACAGAATGCAGAAATTTGCATTTCACAAAGTTGTATATAAATGATCAAATCTTTCGAATTGAAATTTTACATGAAACTGAATTTGGGCAATCATCTGATGCTTTATGAAGACATAACAGATTACTGTATACATGGGGAGCATAATAGCTAAAAAAAATTACATAATAATACCTTGAAAAAGTTAAGTTTTAATGGAGATTTCTAATTTTTTAATTTTACTGATGCAATGCTCTCTCTTTTTTTTTTTTTTTTTTAAATTTTTAGTGTGCCACCATTTTAAGAATGGCTATTGCCTTTCACATATTAGCTTGGCAAAAAATTAGTTGCCAACAACTTGATGACTTTTCAGAGGAGGATGTGGATAATCAGAAAGTACCAAACAATTTTTTATTGCACTGTTCTGTGAACAATGCAGCATCCGTCATTATTCACATAACATCATTTAACATTTGAAATTCTAATTAATATTTGTTCACTGTGACAATAAATAAAGTTTCCCTATTCTAGGGGGGGGAAGGGATTAAAAACTTTTATAACATGATAAAATTTAAAGAATTATATTTGATTGTAAAATACCTTTTTCCTGAACAAAACCAAATGAAAGTAATTCTGTTAAAAAATTAAATAATATGAATAAAAATAATACAGCTGCACTAAAAATACACAGCATACAATTTCAGCATAGTAAAAAAAACAGCAGAAGATAAGCCCTGCCTACAGGAGTTATATGGCTGTTGTTACTTTTTATTTAGTTTATTGTTGTTTTCAAATACATCTTATTTTTTGTGGTAGGATAATTAAAATATACACTTAAGAAATTATCCTTTAAAATTTTTCCCACTGAATATATATTCCTGTGACAAACCACAGCAGAATTAAATCTACTGAATGCTAAGCGACGGCTCTAAATTTCTGCACACTCTGAATGTGTTAGCAGTGAAAAGGTCAACAGGAATTTTAATTAATGTTATATTCTGACAGGCTTTATTTGCAGAAAAATAATCTTTACAAACCACTCGGAGATAAAAACATAAAATCTATTTTACCAGCCAACACCTGTCATGTGGTTGTAATAAAGCACTTTCTCGTTTTGATCTGTACTAATTTACTAGTCTACATTTAGTACAGAGATTCCTCTAATATGTTAATGCTATTTAAAGAAAGCTTAAAATGTATGTTTCCCTATCCAACTGACCCAATGGCACCACAAGAAATATAACTACAACTAGACCTTAAGTAATACAAAAATGTTCCTTTTCTTTCCCAAATGTTTCAAGAGAATCACAAAAACCTAGTAATGACTGCTATAAATAAGAAATGGCAGTGGTTACAGTGCAAAAAATGAGGCTAAAACATGTTCTTTTACCAGTTCATGTTAAGATATTGAATTGAAGGAAGAGCAACAAGCTTGAAATACACCATCACTTCCAATTGATTGTTTGTAAGTAAAATCTAATTTGTTTACAAACTTTATGGCTCTAAGTTATATAAACCCTACTCAATTTTTATTATTCTATTCTCCTATACAATGGATAATTAATTATATGTGCTCTGCACACACCAGTTTCTATCCTCTGGTCATACTGAGTTTAGGATTCTCAAATTAATGACTAATAATCACAATTCTTTTTAAAGCAACATATCGCTAGAATTCCTGATACAGCATTTAGAGTTCTCATAAATTTATTTTCTATATTTTCTTCAAAATATAATACATAATAATAGCATTTGATGGCAGCAACCATTTGTTTGAAAAGGGATTCATCACAAAAAATAAAATGAACACAAAATTGAGGACTGAGAATAATACACTTAATTGCTTCATAATGAGCTTATTCTCCTCAGTGCCGGATTTAGCATTTTTCCTAGGTGGGGCAAAAACTTAAAACTGCCGCCCTCACCCATCTTCCTTTGAGTTTCTCTAACAAATTTTAATTTTTTTAATAAACATAGAAATAGAAAGTTTTTCGAGATACAATGTAAAATCCATTTTATAGTAAGAAATTTTGTATATGCTATTTTTGTTATAAAAGAAGTATGCATAACAAATGGTTTAGTTTCTTTATTTATGGCAAAACATAAGAGGGGAGATGTCTTTGCTGAGGTCTTTCTAAGAGTAATTGGCTCATGTGCAAGTTATGCATAAGCAAAACGGTGGAAAAACCCATGCAGCCAGCTAATTCGATTGATTCTAATCCCCAACCGAACTACCAGTGTTCAGACTTTACCTCTCAGCCGCTGGTGGCCCAACATACATACCATAAGTTACATAATTAAAAACCCGTGCGAACCCTTCTAATGCAGTTGCTTCTCCGGTGCACTGAAATAATCAAATTTACATTTTCCCTGAAATAAGGTTCCATTTATTTTGCAAGAGGCGTCGGTATGAAAATCTATGCTATCGTTCTGTTTCTTATTTGAATATCTCTGCTTAGAGAGAGGACAACACAGGGACTCTAGGCTTTGTTTATAGGGACCAAAGACCAAGGCGTTTACGGAGTACTTTTGATAAATTTGCGTGTTGGGTTGGCAGAGGGACAGGGTTATCTGACATTGTCAGTGACGCCTGGAGTCCCTCTATTGTCCTCTCTCTGATCATATCTTTAGAGTCGTATTCGGCTGCACTTAGCTTACTTTTAACTGCTTGTTCCATTAAAAGGTTTACAAGTAATTAATTATAAATATTCTTAAAAGAGGTTTTAAACCTGGCTTTAAAACTACTAATGTTGTACCAAAATTTGACAACCTTCCAAATATAATCCAGCCCCATGCTTGAATTCGCATCCCGGAGCACAAACCCCAGCTTGCCCCCCCCCGCATAGATCCAGGACTTTACATTTAGCATAATTCCAATTAATGTAACATGTCAATCATGTCATGTCAATCACATACCCATTTTAAATACTAAGTTTGAAAAGTTCTGGATTATCTCATAATATATTTTTTTACAAAAGTCCAGAGTTTTAAGTAAAATATCACTTTCATTTCATTAATTTTAGCCAAAATCTAATATGCTGTTCCCATTGATATAAAAGTCTTATGTAGTAAAATCGAAAAGCTTTGGATTATATTTTAAACTGTTACGGTCTTCAAGTAAAGTAACTAACAATCTGCACTAACTTGCAATCTGAAACTAGCAATAAACTAACTTGCAATCTGAAAATTCACCAAATCACCTTTAAAAATCACCAGACTGAGACAAGGTGGTTGCACTAATACAGAAGTAACAAAGACTGTTATATGGGTTCCTATAAAATGCCACTTCCAGTTATCCAATTTTACTCAAAATCTTAATCAGTTCTTTACATGAATGTAGAAAACTTAAATATGGAAAACAGAAATTTTTTGCATGTTTCAGAAGATTTGTCATGGACGAAAAACTCTTAAATACACAGAAAATACACGGATATCTTTGTCTGATAAAGTTCTACTTTTTTATTTAAATTCAACCCCTTTCATCCTTGACGCCATCCAAGCCAATATATATATATATATATATATAACCCTTTTCACAAGCTTTCCAACCCCTCAGGAACAGAATATGAGAACCAGTTTAAACTACTTAAATTGGGTCGGCTTGCTTAAAAACAATGATAAAAAGTAGCTTTTGAAAGCCAGAAAAATCCTTGCCATTTCTAATGAAAATATATACACAAATACTTTCTCAATCAACCTATGCTAACAAAGTTAACCAGAGAGGCAAAATTTTACTGTACACTGTGTATAAATTTCAAATACATAAATCAATAATTTGCATGTTTAAAATTTAAATTTAAAAAAATTAAGTTTAAGCAATTTAATTATTAATAACCCTAATCAAAGGTTACTTAGCAAATTTAAAGCGTGTAGTTGTAAAATATGATTTTAATGAATTGAATTAATTTGACTACACAACAATTTAGAATAAGATTTAAATCTCCCCCTCCTACAAAAAACTGTTGAACTTCCTGGTTTGTTGATAAAAAAGCAAAATTTTGCTGCTGCAAAGAACAGTTTTCAAACTAAGGAGAGTAAATTGAAAAAAAGATCAGGTTACATATTTTTCTGAATAATGTAAATTCCATTATTACAATAAAGAAATTCTGCCTTACTTGCACCAATGACCTCCAACAAAAGTTTAAAAGAGCAGATCATTATTTCTTTAGTTAGATAATTAACAGACACAAGTTACAAATATAGCATATGAAAAACTTACCACAGTTTTCACATTGCATCATCATTGTTTATCTGTTTTCAAACAAAATCACACATTCTTGATACCAGGATACATAACTTTGAAAATACTTCAAATTTTAACCATTTTTTTTTCCCTCAAGTTACAAGGGAAAATCAGATTAAT